GGCCTCTTGTCATCAGTCTCCAGCGTGTTTCCCAAACACGTCACCAGTCGGCTGAGACGTGAAAAGGTTTCACCATCCCGTGCGGGGACGTAGGCCAGCATCGCCTCTGCCTGATTCAGGTCAAAAAAGAACCCGTGGTTGGGTCAAAGCTCTGCGTCGGTCAAACAAGGTCGGCAGCACAACCTGGGAAACGGTTGCCGCACCAGTCTGGGCTGTCCTCTCTTCTTTGTTGTGATTTTCATATTCCTTTACTTAGGAAAGGCCATTTTCTGTAGGCAGCCACACGTTCGCTCAAAAGCAGCTTTTCTGCCTTCAATTTCCTCCGCGTGGATAATGTGTAAAACCCAAGGGATCGTGGAAGGAAAACACCTTACCCCAGAAGCTGCCCGAGAAATACAGAAGTGCTCATATTGGCTAGGATTTCGCTTAAACACATTTAGTTATTATAAAAATTTGCTCACTGAATAAAATATGGCTTGACCTCTGGATTGTTTCCTCCCAAGAAACGTGACAGCGTCCCTCCTTCTGCTCCATTCAGCCTCCTTGGCAGAGCTGCGAGGTTTTTGTTTTGTTTTGTTACGTTATTGTTGTGTTTAAAAAAAAAAAGAAAACAAAAAAAAACCCCTCGAGCCCCTCTTTTGAGCGGTGTCACGTTAGGATGAATTGGCCAGGGAGGCATGTTTATAGACTGTGTGAAGAACTTTGTCTTTGTGTGGGAATGCTGGTGACACTGGTATGGCTTGCCTGAATGAACTGCGGTGACGCGGCTAATAAGGTGTCCTGCTGAGCACCGCCGCAGCCTTTCTCAGACCTCCCACTTAATGCCATTCAGCTCCAGCTCAGTGTAGCTAATTTTTCCCATTCCCTCAATTCTTTAGGCCTCCTTACAAACAGAAAAGTCAACTTTCACACCGAGGAGAAGATAAGTGCTTTAGGAAATAATCGTGTAAACAGAATGTTACCTTCTGACCTGATGCTGATACCTTGGTCTGGGACAAAACCCAGCTGGCTATTGCATTAGACATGGCTATTAAAGGAATAATGCTGCTGATCCTCCTTACACAGCGCCCTGCGAAATGCTTGAGCCAAATCCCAGAGCCTCTTGTCACACTGAGTCGCGTTCAGCTGCTCTCTCCCATGGCCAAACTGCTGATATTTAGCTGCTTCGTGTCTTCTTTCTTGAAGCGGCACGGGAGGGGGATAAGCGGGAACGCAGGGGGAGGTCGGTCATGTTTCTGATTGCCCTGTTATTTTCTGGCTGAATTTCTGTGCTTTGGAACGCATGTACGGTACGCCATCCAGCTTTTGTAAAAGAGGGGGCGTTTCATAAAGTATCTCTAATTGTAACTGCTATAATGAGTACTTTAAAGGAAATCGCGAAAGGATTTCAGCAATTCCAGTGACACGGCATCGTTCACTCTAAGGTGGTGCAAAGCGATGACTGTCAGTGTTCTGTGTAGGGACTACAACTCGTAACTAGACCCAGATCTCCAGTAGTGTTGAGAAGAGGAACCCCTGCCTCTTACTCATCTGAGTCTTGGTAGGAATCCATGCCTCCTCAGTGGCTTTGGAAAGACTTGCCCATCACAGTCCATTTGGCTGACGCTGCCATCCAGACTGGGCGGTCTGCCTCGACCTCAGGGTAATTCGACATATCCTAGGCTCCAAGACCAAGCCCCGAGCATTTGCTTCTGTGGCGGCGTTGGGCGTCTCTTCAGGTTCTCCTGCCCCGCGGGTCCAGCCGGCCCCCGCTCTGGGCCGGGTAACGCTTCCCGCACAGGCGGGCGATCGAGCCCGGGCTGCAGACATTCGGCGTCGTGGCTCAGAGGGTCTCAGAGGTTTCTCGTAATTCTCCTGGGGCACCCAGAGTAGCAGACAGGTTTTGTCACGGGTCTTTGGGAAAACGTGCTGGGGCTGCCATGCTGAAAAGCACTGATGAGCGGAGGTGGTTTCGCTAGGAGCCGTACCGACACGGCAGAGCAGTTGGCATTTCCAGCGACCTGCAGCTGTTAGACCAAAATAAGAATTAAAACGTATTTATCTTGCAGCAAAGAAATTGCTATAGTAATTTAACATTAATTCGCACCCTTACCAGTGAAGTTTACTCCTTAAGAAAAGGTGTGAACCGTGGATCTGACTCGTCAAAACATTTAAGTGTGTGACTGACTTTAGCTGTAAGCTTCACTTGAAAGCCACAATCGCTTGAGTATTTCTTCCGTTTACTGCCCTGTCCTCTACCAAAAGCTGTCCAGCTCTATTTCAAAAGCTGTTTGTGGGCTGCCTCTTCTCCAAACGCAACAAACTTTGAAAAGAAACAGAATAACCCAGCCATCTGGAAGACTTCTGGTGTAGGGGCACCAGTCGAAAATGCAGAATTAGATTGAAACTGGCAAAACGATGAAGGTAATGTGTTCCGAGTGTGAGGAATCCAACACGGTTACCAAGGACTCCAACACTGTTACCAAGGACTCCTTATGCAATTAAAAGTTCTGTGTTTGTGGGACTAGTAGAGGAGAAATCTTCCGTGGCGTTTGTGTTGCTTTGGAGTCTAACAAGGTCATCGATAAACCCAGTCACGAGCACGCGTTTTCCCCGTGGTCCTTGTTCCCCATATTGCATTTGTTACTTTGATTTCCAAAGCATGCAAAATAAGTTGCAGTGGCAAGGACAGTAGGTTACATGCATATATTAAGTCATTTAAAGCATATTTTATTGTTCAGTATCCCAGGTCATTCGGTAAGTACATAAATGTGCGTATCCCTTGCTGTACTGCCGTTGGTATTTCACAGTACACCTAAATATCACCAGCCATGGAAAGGAGCTACGTCAGAAGCCACGTACGACATCGTTCTTGAGAAGGAACATTGGGACTGTTTAACTCCAGTCGGCCACAAGAGACTCTTCCGAAAACGTCCAACAAGACCAACTGCAAGGGGAGCAACTGGTTAAAATTATCAGGTTTAAAGCTGGCATTGATTTGTATGGAAATCAAGTTTAAATCAGGTAATGTGCAAGGCTATGAAATGGCTGAATTTTAATTAATCGATCGGAAGCAGACTAACCAACTGGTTTGTTCCTTGTTTAGGAGACATTTCAGCTGGCTGGTTTTGGAATAGTCTGTTTATTTGGAAAATCTGTCTTCGCATAATACGATCACAGGCATCGTTCTCTTAATATCAATTTGTTTTAAGATGCCTTCTCTAGACCTTGGTGTCATTCCTGCAGTATCTGTCATTCCTTCGTCAGCAGTAAATGGCAATGAGCAAAGCCAGAACTAAGGTATGAATCAGGGAAGTTGGCAAAGCAAAGTCAGTTTTTCTTATCTATGAGTTGCGCATCAGACTTTGCAATGAAAGCGTTAGCAAATTGGGGTCATGTAAATGGTTTAACTTTTAAGTTCTCATTTTCCTTTACCGTGCCACGGGGGCACTTATCAAACTGATGCTATGCACAGGTCGAGAGTGACAGGTTGTGCTCAGTGCTTGCCAGGAGCTGGCAGGGGACGGTATTTATTAACAGTACCCGCGATAATCTGTCAGTGGAATGGAGGATTTGGAGATTTTCATACCAGAAAAGGATGAGTCTTTGCGAGGGATTTTGCTTCAAATGATCACTGCCTTAGGTCCAATGCACATTAATTTTTCAATAGAATAATATTCCTTACGTAATGGATTACTGTTGACTAAGAGTGTGAGATGTTTCTAAGAGGAGAAGCAGTATCTCGCTGTAAATCCAGTGGTGCCTCTTTCTTTATAGCTTTGAAGAGTCTAAATGGGTGTAATGTATTGGAACTTCTAAAGCCGCTCGAAACGAGTGCCTCCTTGCTGGGCAGGAAGCCTGCGTACCGTGCATTCGCTTGGGATCCCTTACCTGTGCGCCTGGGTCCCTGCCTCGGGCTCAGCTGGGGTCTCTGGCTCCGTAACCCTTGCCTATTCGTGTATTCCCGGCGTGGACACAGTGCACAGCCTTGTGTCTGGTCCTCGTTTCATTTCGTACATACTGTGCGCCCAGTGTCACTGCCGCAGGGTTCTCTGCGTTTTGTCTGCGTACGTTCTTGGTGGGTGCAGCAGGCGCATTTCGGGTGTTACGTGTCTTCCTCAGCCACTGATCGGAAAGAAATTGTTTTGATTCCTCTTTTGAAATCAAGCGTCGAATTGGTGGATTTCCAAAGGCCAGGATCCCTGGAAGCATCTAAAATTGCACGTTGTTAGGAGCACAGTTGTTGTTAGTAATAGATAAGCTCATAATATAATAACAGTTTTTAATCCTTGGAGATTGGAAAGGTGAACAGTAATGCCTTGTTCCCCCATTTAGTTCTGAGCAAAGGCTTGAGAAAAAAGTCAGTCTTGACTCCACATCTGTAAAGATCACCCTCTCGGTGTTGGCTACAACTTCAGTAAAAATCTGCCTTGGACAAGAAGAGAGGACTGTAGCGGCGCCAGGAAGAGCCGTGTGGATCAGCCTCCGCCAGCTGTGGTGACCGACGTTTAGCCCGAACACGTCACCTTTCAGTTCTCGGGGTGCTGACACGTGCTGGCCAACGTTACGGTCGCAGTCGTACAGAGGAGTAAACTCAGAGGGTGTTCCGAACTCGCCGCTCATTTGGGGTTCCTAATTCTTAGCTGCCCAGCCCGAAGCCATCGACCCAAACCTGCGAAGGTGTGAAGTATCCCCGTGGTGCCCGCGAGATGTCTGTGGTGCCCGAGTGCCGGCTCTGCGTTGCTTGTGCTGACTGCTGCAAACTTGCTTTCCTCCTCGCGGCGCTTTCAGCCGGACGGGGAAACGACGGCGTTGTTTTACTGGGGCTGGAGGTAGAATTGCCTACGCGAGGAAAATCAGCCCAAGCCCGTGGTCAGTACATTGTTCCAGTTGTTTTGATCGTGCCAATAATTATTTCTGAGGTGGTGCTTAGAAGATAAGACGCGTGTATCTGTGCATCCTCGCGTATGCGTAAAGGTTTCATTCGCCTGAATGACAGGTTTTGTTTTGCTTTTTTCCAGAATTATAGATCAGCGGTTTGAGAAAGTTTCGTATTTTGTCTTCGGAGATTTCAACTTCAGACTGGATGCCAAAGCAGTGGTAGAGGTAGGACTTCTATTTTTCTTCTGTTGCAGACCCTACCAGGTTTTATTTCTCAAATATTTTTTCCCGTGGGAAAGGTAAAAGTGAGTTAACAAACTAATCTTGATGCTGACATCAGACTTGGCTGAGAACACCCCCACCAGGAACATCTGGCAGGTAACTGAAAGCGCTGCGTGAGTCTGCTGAAGCCGTTAAGCTGGCACACGCTGCGGTTCGGCTCAGTGGTGGCGTGCGACGTGAGCGTCGGCCCTGTGTGCCGGGGGACTGCCGCCCGCGCCGCCCGCTCCCCGTCCTGCGTATGGGAAGGAGAAAGCGTGGGCACCCGTCGGAGGGGAGTCCTGGAGGCTCCGCAGCGCGGGCAGGAGCCTCGCCCCGTGGCAGGCAGGGAGGTTCCTGGTCTGAAATCTCTTTGGGCTTCAGCGCAGGGTGTTTGTTTGCATGTTTGTGACTTTTGCCACGTGTTTATCGCTCACGGTGAATCTCACGGTCATGCACTGCAGGCGGAGTAAGTGCCAGTTTATGTGTCTGCTCTGTGGGGAAAAGAAGAGGGATGTTTCCTAAGCGCCTGTGGTAGAACGCCGCACTTCAAAAATACAAGCAGACTTTGTGCAAAGCTTTGGGACAGTAGCGGCTCAGGGCGGAAGGGTGACGAGGGGATTTGTACAAAGCCAAAAGAACGCAGTAAACCTTTTTCATCATCAGCTGAGATTACCTTGGCTACACTGCTAAAGCTCAGCTCCAGGTAACGTGGGGTCAGAAGTAATATCCAGGTGGAAAATCAATTTAATCTCATGGTTTTCCCTCTTTAATTCTCTGAGATATTGTAGCGTCTTTTTGGTGTCCTTGAGGACGGGCATGTATCTTCTAAGCCAAAAGCTTTTCTCTTGTAAATCAAGCAGTGGGAAGGAAGTGGCCTGCGTGCCGAAGCTGGCCACCCCTCGCAGGGGTGCGCTGCAGGTCTCCCTCCTTACGGGATGGTTAGCCCTTCGCTGGTTGAAAACCAGGAGTTTGATGTTACAGCACGGCGTGTGCAGCTCATGACTTCCTTCTTGGAACCCTTCATACAGTGCAATCATTTAACCAACAAGCTTAAGCATAATTGAAATGAAATTCCAGCCACCGATGCAGAATATGCAGCTTCATACTGCGGATGCCAAGGACCGAATCCTGCTCTGCCACGCTGCAGCTCCCGTAGTTATCATCAGTGCTCATAGATTACTCGGTTTTGAAGAATTCTGCCTGTTTGTTTGCTATTCACCGGTGGTGCAGTGGTGTTACTGAGACTGCTCCTGCCTGAGAACACCACCTCTATCAATCCTGCTGCAGCAGAGTTATCTCCTACGCCCCGTATTGACGAAGGGCACTGTAAGTTTTTCCTGGCTTGCTAACTGCCTAGCAGTCCGCAGGACTGAGACCGCGGAGAATGCTTGCTCCATTACTGGTGGATTAAGATTCCTGTGTGTGTGTCGGTGAGCCCCAGAGCGATCGCCTTCTAAGCGAGCGGTGTCGCTGAGCACCAGTGATGGACGCTGAGCGAACTGCACGCAGGTAGCAAGAGGACCGCTGGTTCTTAGTCCTGACACAGTACTTTTCATCCTACGAATGCTTTGCCAATGTCAGTTAACGCTGTTGTGTATGTGCACACAAGGTGGGATTTGAAGATGACTCAAATTTATTTACCCGCTCGTCCTAGGTAAGGTGCACGCGCGCCTGAGTGCAAGAGGCATTCGAATAACAGAGATTTTCTGTTGCTTTTTTGGAGAAGTAGCACACCCCGCTAACCAGAACTTCACCCAGCTACTTTGCAACATTGATTAAACATACTTAAAGTTGATCCAGAAACTTCCACGTGTCACTTACGTGTGCACAGCTGAAGTCATGTTAAGTTTGATTCGTAGTCTTCTGCGTTTGGCACAGTTTGTAAAGCGGTGTGTCAGGAGGTCCGAAAGACCTAAGAAGTGGTTGTCTGGTGCAGAAGCGGCGCGCTGCACAGCAGCGGTAGGACAGGCAGCGTGTTTCACGGCACCTGAACCCCGGCACAGGCGTGAATGAACCAAGAGTAAGCGCACAGCACTCTGATGGTAAAGCCTGGGTGCCCAGGAGACAGATCAGTTTCTGAAGTCTGGTTTGGAAGGGCAGTTACAGAAAGTCTGGTTTGGAAGGGCAGTTACAGAAAGCCTGGTTTGGAAGGGCAGAGTTGCAGAAAGTCTGGTTTGGAAGGGCAGTTGCAGAAAGTCTGGTTTGGAAGGGCAAAGTTACAGGGCGCCTCTAGTGGGAATTATTCCAGATGGGACCTAGTGCTTTGATCGTATGTTGTACCCCAAACCACTTCACAGACTGGTTTATAAATGCTGTTTCTCAGCTGTGCCGGTTTTGCAGAGCAGGCAGAGGGCAGAGCGCCCTTACCCAAGGCCGTGCGCAGCTGGCGGTGGCAGAACCGGTGCGAAAGCGGCCATGGGGGGGGCTTACCCACCCGGCGCGGGGCCAGCCACGTTCACCACGTGTCACTTACGTGTGCACAGCTGAAGTCATGTTAAGTTTGATTCGTAGTCTTCTGCGTTTGGCACAGTTTGTAAAGCGGTGTGTCAGGAGGTCCGAAAGACCTAAGAAGTGGTTGTCTGGTGCAGAAGCGGCGCGCTGCACAGCAGCGGTAGGACAGGCAGCGTGTTTCACGGCACCTGAACCCCGGCACAGGCGTGAATGAACCAAGAGTAAGCGCACAGCACTCTGATGGTAAAGCCTGGGTGCCCAGGAGACAGATCAGTTTCTGAAGTCTGGTTTGGAAGGGCAGTTACAGAAAGTCTGGTTTGGAAGGGCAGTTGCAGAAAGTCTGGTTTGGAAGGGCAGTTGCAGAAAGTCTGGTTTGGAAGGGCAAAGTTACAGGGCGCCTCTAGTGGGAATTATTCCAGATGGGACCTAGTGCTTTGATCGTATGTTGTACCCCAAACCACTTCACAAACTGGTTTATAAATGCTGTTTCTCAGCTGTGCCGGTTTTGCAGAGCAGGCAGAGGGCAGAGCGCCCTTACCCAAGGCCGTGCGCAGCTGGCGGTGGCAGAACCGGTGCGAAAGCGGCCATGGGGGTGGCTTACCCACCCGGCGCGGTGCCAGCCACGTTAGCCTCTGCTCCTGACGGGGCCTCACGCTCCAGACAACGCCCTGGTCCCTTCTGGCATGTTAAACGTGTGCCTCTGCAGGCCGATAGGAACCAGTCGTTCGACTATCCAGTCAATGCTAGGGATTGTAAGGGTTAATCCATTGACTGTCATCTTTGGGTCTATGACTAAATTTATCTCTGCTTTTCTTGCTGACCTTTTGAATTCCCTCTTGAGACCGCAGTGTGCTGAAGGCTTGGACGCTGGCATGCTATGAGCAGTGCACGTGCTGGAGAGAGGCAGGCTGTGCGTGTGCCGCGCACAAAGAATACGGTGTGTTTCTGAGGGGTTTCGCAATTAAGCCATCGAAAGGGAGAATCTGAGAGCTGTTTGAAACGTGGAGTCCAGGCACTGGAGCGCAGTGTGCTAAATCAGATGCCAAAAATGTTGTGCTTATTAATTAATAGACAATAAATCATTAATATATCATTTATTAAACATTTTATGGGAACCTTAATCTAAAGTCATATTGATTTCCTTGCTAGGAAAATCTGCTTTACTGTTGTTGGAGTAATCCAGGGGGGGATCAATAAAACAGGTACAGGCTTCTGGCAATTCTGAGATCCATGTGTGCATTAACAAGTGCATCGTCCGGAGGGATAAACTGGCAAGAAAGAAATAGGACGTCTGTAGCATAACAAGCATAGCAAATACAATTGTTTTGTAGTAGATTTGAATTATAGTTTGAGCATAATTTGTAGCCTGGGATAATGATGTTCGGAGAAATGCCTACAGCTCGTCCATTTAAAGCATTTTGAAGTTGTCCTCAGCCTGAGAAGGGCCAATAAGGTGGCTCCGGTTGAGCCCAGTTTTCCTGGGCCGACACATGATTCAAAATACAGGGAGCATGAGAAGACCTGGAACCACAAGTTTTTTTCCTGAAGTCTCAGGCATTGGTGTGCTCTGGGTGTGTAGCAGGCATCGGGGACACCAGGGTCCCTTCGCCGGGTCTCGGCCGGTGACTCCCCATGCTAGCTTTGGCTGCGAGATGTCCTAAGGCGCGCGTGGTACCACCCTCTCCTTGGGACGGGCTAAAGCCCCCGGCGACTGTTCACCTGAACGTAGACCCAGGGAAGCGTAAATGCTCCCAAGTGTTGATTACAAAGGTTCGGTATCGCTCTAGCGATACGCCTCAGAAGTTTGTCTTGTAGCTGAATCGCTGGCAGATCACCACCCTGGCTCACTGCATCAACAGGCTGCAGAACGAGCATTGCCTCATTACTTCGTTACCCGCACAGCTAATCAATGGCTCGATCCAGTGGTCCGTCAGCTGGTGTCTGCTCTGGCACAGCTCAGGTGCTGCAGGAGCAGGATTTTGCCCGTTACCCCGCTAATGACGCTGCCCCAGCTGTGCGTGCCCAGGAGGCGCCGCGTGGTCCTGACCCATCCTGGGCGTGCGTGGCGGAGCCATGAGGTCGGTCCCGCTGCCTAAGCAGATAAATGCCACTACTTTGGTATCGCAAAGCGTCCGGAAAATCTTCCGATAGCAGTCTGGCCCCCTGGAAGGCACCGCCTTTTGGAGGATCTGTTGTGGACCCATTCGGGCCAGGAAACCGCTGGCACTTTTGCACTGCTGCTCGTGATGTCTCGCTGGCATTGCATTCGTTTAGTGCTAAGCATCTTCAGGTCCTCATTCTTTGTGCTAGAAGAGTTTCCAGAAATAAACCTCGTAAGGAATGTGTTTAGTAGGGCAGAAGAAAGATCTACGCTTCCTCAGGTTTTTATCGTTTTAAGGTATGCTCTAAGACTTTATTTTTTTTCCAATCGTCAGCTAATCCTGCACATGCGAAGTTGGCTGAGTATTTTGCTGCTGTTTAAATTCAAAGATTGCCCATTGAATTTTTGTTTT